GGTAGTACATTCCTAATAGCATATCAAACGGTAAGTCGTCGCTAACCAGGAACGAAATCTTGTGATTAAGTTCCCCTCCTCCATAGGAGAAGGTGCAGACTACATCCTTGATATAGTTTGTGAAAATCATGCGCTCCTTATTGGCCAAACTAGATGCTACGGGTCTGCTAAGGTGTTGTACCCAGTCCTGTAGGTGCAACCTTTCCAAACAGTCGCAACTTATGTAGTTCCGCGTGGAGCCGATGTCTATGAAGGCACCACATTTGCGGCATCCATCCACTTCCACAACGAAATGTTCCCCTCTAGGACCTTTCCTTAGTGCCACCCAAGATTCACGAGGGTCCTTGCTTGACCACTCACTTTCCAAATCTTCTAAGGCTTCAGACACATCCAACGTACAGAGCATGGTTTGGTCAGGATGAGTCTGCAGGGTGACTAAAGAATCATTAGCTATGGCCTGCTCATGAAGTGGGGAGGGTATCTGGCCCACTTCATCTTGAGTAGAAGCAGCTAAAACTTCCACCGGCCTTACATGTTTCCCGAGCTTGAAGCCTGGGAAGAAGGTGCCCCCATCTTAGGAGGTATCTTCTGCGTGACCTTGCGTTCTTGCACTTGTACTGGGTGTGTCCATATTCACCACAGTTGATGCAAGCACCACGCACTCTACGGTCCCGCCACACTTCCTGATCAAGACCTGCCTTGACCCAATCAGCTACTTTGGTTTCATTGGAGGCGGCTTGCCCTTAATTCTTTTGATGGCCCTTCCCTGGGCCACCTGCCTTAGTCTTTACTACTGCGGCGAGGGTGCTACACTCAACGATCTCCTCGCCGTCGTACTCTGTATAGTCCAACAGGTCTATGAGCTCTTCGATCTCTGTTTGAGTCCCATCGGACTCAACCATCACCAACTTGCTCCCTTTCTTCTTCCATTCCTGTGGACTTTTCTTCTTCCTCGCATCAACTGAAGTCGGTTGAGCACTTTCTAGAGTGGCCTCTAAATCTAAGGCTTTTCTAGACAAGGTCTCAAATGAGTGATACTCAAGGCGAGCCTCGCTGGCCAGCAAATTTATGAGATTCTCTAGGAGACATCTCACAAACGTGGTCAACAAGAACTGGTCATCGTAGTTTATGCCACGAACGACGATGAGGCTCTCTACAGTAGTCGTAAGCTCCCTGACTGACTTGAACTTCCTTTGATCTAGTCTGTGCATCACATCAGTGGCAATTTGTGTCTGCTGTGGATTGTGCCAACGAGCTTCTACCATTTCTAGGAACTGGTCTAACGTAATGGTCTTAGCCCAGTCAGCCATGCATCGTCCGTACCCGGCCTTTGCGACTAAGCCATCCAGCCATTTGGCTGCCTCACCCTCAAGGTCAGATGCAGCAGTAATCACCTCCTCCTCCTGCAAAGTCCTCTTTGCCTTTAACCATACTGGAACCGTTCTCAACCAAGTGTTGAGTTCCTCGTCCTTCTTCTCTCCGGAGAAGGCAAGGGGCGGTTTCATAGGGGTCTTTGGGTACCATTCACCTTGTTGCTGTCCCTGTTGAGGAACAGGTTGTTGCGGTGATGGTATAGCAACCACCGCTGACCCAGAAGAAGAACAAGCAACAGTCTGTGCGGCTGCTGCAGACGTACCACTTGGCTGTGTGCCAGCTTGTACCGGAAAGGGGCCTAACATCGTTGTTAACGGCAACGGCGACTGTGCTGTTGGCCTGAATCCTAGCCTTAGCAAAAGGTCCAAGATCTGGTCCAAAGAGTTTTGCATGAAATCCAATCTGTTGTCCAAATGCGCATGCAGCGACAGCATATTGTTCTTCAATATTTTCAGTTGGTCAGACATGGCTGACTCATTCAAACCCTCTAATGCAGCTTTGTCTGCCTCTAACGTATCAACCCTGGCTTTTCTATTTTTAATCTCTCTTTCTCTGTCAGTTGCTTGCTTCAGTTCCCTCTCTAACCGCTCGCGGATCCTTTCGACCTGTTGGAGCTCTAGAAGCTCCCTACCGAGTGGGGTCAACGGGCTTAACTGCGAGCCCGCCATTTGACTTGTGGACTGACCAAAACCTACTGACCCGGAAGTACCCGCGGGCCCTGAGGGCATTCCCAACAGGGTCCTTGACGAGAATGCAGCAGAGGCTGCGCCGTTAGCCATCGCTGCTGCTCTGGCTGTTGCTGCCTGATCTCTAGCTGCTAGGTTTGCTGCTACCCTCGCTGCTGCAAGAGCACGGGCTCTACGTTCGGCACGAAGCCGTGCTTTGTCGCCCGGTTATAGGGTCTGGAACACGTGCGGGACCCTCAATGATCTCGAACGTGTCAGTCTCACATTGTCAACTCTACCCTCATCGGTGTCTCACCCGCTCATCAGTTAGGCAAACACTATCTGCACTACTCCCTGATGGAGTCCTACCACAGCACGTGTCTGACCGGCACCTAATTTTCTAAAAATAAATGTGTCCGGCAGTTCCCCTACTTGACCGATCAAGTGGCAGCCTACAACATTCACAATAGATTGTCAACATAATCTAGTTACTCTCATGATTAGAACTGGCTATGGTAGTATACAACAGTCCTCAACTAAACTGTTTGTGAGGTGTTAGCAGTTTGTCAACCAACTAATCAATAAAAGAACTAAAATATGTTGCAGATGTATGAAAAGTGGGTATGGTTGTGTTTACAGTTGAGCACCAATTAGAACCTACCCTCCCCTCAATCCAACATACCGAAGAGCATCTTATAGCAGCAATGTCTTCGTGTGTAATGTCGGCCCACCCTTGTGCCCCAAGTCATTGCCAAGCAAGCCAGCCAGTCCACTCTTATTTACCCTCGTACGGAACGAGCCTTACACCCGGTTGATCTGGCTGATCAGGAGGAATTTTAGGAGAGCCCCCATCTCCTCAGGAATTATTTAACGTCATAGTCAGGACGACGATCACAGCCAGATTCAATCCAAGTCCCCAACCAGTAATGTTTATAGACGGTTTGGTAAGCGTCTCATAAAAGGCTGGCACACCTGGCACGACTTCTATAGCGCAGCATAGTGCCAAAATGGACAAGCAGCCATCGCATGCGTGACCTACTCCCATTGGGTTGGCATGGTGACCGTGACCCAGCGCTTCGACCAAAGCCCTTCAAAGGCACCGCCCTTTCTCCTTCCAGATGCTTCCGGGAAGATTGTCGTCTCTCAAGGTAGCGCGCACACGACACCTCACCAAAAGAGAGGACTCTCAAGTTGGACTCACTTCCTCGCGGTAAGAAGAGATTGAGAGAGTAGATAAGGTAAGGGAACAACGTACCTGAAGRTAGCTGSCCCCAACCACAGATTTCTCACCAATTGAGTTGAGTGTGCATTTGATGACCGGTCGTAGCCTCAGTACCACTCACAACGCAATGCAGTGCCACATCAGCATGCTCTCATCCCCAATCATACATTTCGCTGTAACCATGGCATCCAATGCCATATAGCCTTCCGGCGCACACCTCTCTACCCAGGTCGTGCGCCTAATATGGCCTGACGTCACAAGAACCAACTGCGATAAAGCATCGTCAACGCACCAAGTCTGTATAACGCCAGCGCACCAAGGTAAGTGGCGAATCAAACAGCTCCGATACCAAAATGCAAGGAACATGAATGTGGACGAAGCACAAAAATCCAGATTGCATAAGTCCAAGTAGTCAAAGCAAGAGCAGATAGCACAATGGAACCGAGTAACCATCCATTTGAGAACGATACAGAAGAATCGTGAGTCAATGTCCAAGCCCAATCGGGCAACACCAACAACATAACCCAATGTAGCTCTCTCTCTTGAATGGCGCCAGGCGCCCTATCTACTCTACAACCTATCACTACAACTACATCATGGAAGCAACCAGACAACATGATGACCAGCGAGTGATGATGTCAACACCAATGCCGACCTCCTCTCCACCAGGTACGTCTCACTCTTCACCCTCACTCTCCCTTGTTATCCCACAGAGCGCCCTTCACCTCCGAAGAACCACCTTCGCCCTTCACCTCCTCTGCACCCACAGGCAGCCCGGCTATGGCCGCCAGCGCCCTGCGCCCAGGCAGCGCTCTACCGCTTAGCGCAGCCTGCCTCTACCTCAGCCTAGCGCAGCACAGCACCTCGCATTTGCGCAGCGTGCCGGCATTGCCCGCAATGGCCAAGATCCCTGCCCACTCGCCCTCTCTGCCTATATGCCAGTGTTGCGTGAGGGCGGCCTACCTTGAGCTTGCGCCTGGGCCCCAGTACCTGCACCCAGGCCCAATGGGGTTGGGGCCCAAGCAGTACAGTTGTGCCTCTTTCATCCAGGCCTGCGTCCAGATTCAGATAGTGGACCGGTATCCCATTGGCATTTTCGGCCTCTATTTCCAGTATG